GTTCAGAAGCCTGCTCCCCAGAGGGACCTGAACTGTGCCCCTAACAGTCTCGTCAACTCTGCTCCTGCCGGGCAGTCATGGGTTCTCCGGGTCTTCTGTGGAATGTCATCTGTGCCCTGGTGGGGAAACCCTGCTTTCTGATGTTATGATGGGTGAACAGAGGGGCCACTTGACTGCAGGGTGGCGTCCTACCATGGTTCCGAGACTGGATGAAAACTCTCTGTGATGAAGATTTGCAAGTCCAGCGGGAGTGCTCTGGAAAAGCTGGCTGAACTGGATTGAATCAGCCCCTCCATGCCTGAAGACGGGCTACAAGTACATTTTGGCATGGCTTGTGGCTGCTTGGAGCTCCGGATTGAGAAACACAGGACTCAGTAGGCAAGAGCCCTGGGATCAACTAGTAATGTCTGCCACGGGTGCAGAACTGGATGATCAGAAAATCAGCCTTTTTGCTGATCCTAGGAGAGATACCAGAATACAGATTGGGGAGGAAAAGATCCCATTAGAGAGGATTTTTCTTATAAATCATAAGTCCTCCGAATTGATTCATGGAAAACAGATAAACATCAAGATGCGTGCAGAGGGTCGCAGACAACAGTGGCAATGGTAAACAGGGAGGCTTCTGGATTCATTTCCCTCCCTCTAGCTGTGTTTTTGCAAATCAGTTTCGTACGTTACATTGTTGCAGGATCAGAACACATCATCCACCAGAATTACTCTCATAGGGATTTCTGTCCTTGAGGAAGCCCTGAACGACCTCTCTGGGCTCTGGGTCAGGTTGGCTTATCTGGTCGCTCGGTCCCTGTGGGTGTCGCCTCCCTTGCTCCCCCCTCCACCTGTGGCATGTTTGAGGCCAGCCCTCCAATATGCCCTGACTTCAGTCTTTGCCTCTGTGGGCTTAGCCAAGTGCAGTCACCCAAGCTTCGGGTTGCTCATCTGCAAAATGCGAGTGGTAATACTCCCCCGGCAGCTCTGTTGGACGAATTTCCTGAGATAAGCGGTGGGGAGGTGTTTCCTACATTTTGAAGAGCCAAACGGCCGCTCAGAATCGTCCGTGAACCGCGCAGCAAGTTACGTGCTGTTGTCTCGTTCTCCTTGAGACGAGCACGAAGGCGAGGGTTTGGTTGCTTGTTTTGTCTTTGTTCCCTCATCCCCCAAGGCCTTGAGGCTGATAAACCTCTGGAACTTTCAGCCTCAGCCCCCTGCTGCTGTCATCTAATCGTCTCCTTTATGTTTTTACCAGATAAAGACGGCCTTGGCTGGATTAGCTTTTCCGGGCAACGCTATTGCAACAGTTGAACTGGGTTTTCAAAGCCTCGCCTCCCCCACTCCTGGAGCATCTGTGGGTCTGACTCCCTGAGCCGGCGGGGCCTCCCACGGCAGCTCCCATGGCCCACCGGGGGTACTTTTCATCGTGCCCTGATCCAGAGACGGGACCCTTAACCTGCCCCACATTCCCGAGGGCGTGCGAAGGGTTAGAGCCCATTCCCTCTGCTCTCTCTCTCTCTGTTGAGGGGTTCTGGGACCACACCGCTGTCCTTTGCTGGGATGGGGCTGCGATAAGGGAGTTGGGGAAGCAGGGACGGGAGGTGAAGGGGGAGCGATGGAGGCTTGTCCAAGACCCGGAGAACCCATGACTGCCCGGCAGGAGCAGAGTTGACGAGACTGTTAGGGGCACAGTTCAGGTCCCTCTGGGGAGCAGGCTTCTGAACAGAGGCTTCTGGGGCCAGTCAGTATCTGGATCCAGCCTGGGCTTCTGGAAGGGGTGCGGTCTGCAGAGGTTACAGAGCTCAGCTGTTTCCAAACAACTGGTGACAATTTAAAGCTCTCCATGCCTGAGCCTCAGGGTCCTCCTTTATATAAGTGGGGACACCTGCCCCATGGGGCTATTAGGAGTAGATTCAATCATGTGCATACCCTGCTGGCGCATGATGGGTGCTCAATGTTTGGCCCTCTCCTTGTGTCACACCCATAAGTTGCATTAGAAGAAGAATAGAATCTAGGATAAGGGACATTCTTCTGCCTGTTTGCAACCTTGCCTGGAGCCCAGGTTTCCATAGAGGGTGGCCCCCTCCTGCAGGCATAGACCGGGGACCATAGCTGCAAAATAGGACAGGGGTGATGAGGGCTCTCAAGATGGTGTCCTGAAGCCTGGGTAAAGAGAAGGTGGCGTTCACACTGGACAAGAGATGAGGTAGGCGCGTGCTGAGGTGCATCGTGAGATGTCTGAAGGCTGCCAGCCCTGCACTCAGCCCAAACTTACCAAGTGTGTCTCCGTGCTAGCAGCAAATAGCGCTATGGGAACCCGATGCCAGGCACAGTCCTCTCTCCCAAGGAGCTCGAAGACTCCGCAGTCTTCCCAGAGTTTAGGAAGGACTAGGCTTTGCCACTCCAATGTCCAATGGCCTCTTGTTTCACTTATGATACCGAGAGTCCTTACAATGACCCCAAAGGTCTAGAATGACCAGGCTTCTACCTACTTTCCCACTTCACCTCCTACTACCCTTCCCTTCACTTATGTTTCTCCAGCCTCACTACTCTTCTTTCTGTTCCTCCAAAATGTTAAGCTTAGTCATACCTCAGGACCTTTGCATAACCATCTTATTCCTCCTGCCAGAAGCGCACTTCCAAAGTGGATTTTTCTTGTCATGCAGGTCTCTGCTCAAATGCAGTGTCCTTTCTTTTCCTGCCACCACTGTGACCAGCAGTGTCTGGGAAGGAATCTGGGTCCCAGAGTGAAGCTGGTGTGCAGCAGACCCCGGCAGCCAGCTGGGGGCTCACATGTGGCGTGGAGCCTGGCCAGTGAGGCAGGGAAGGGGTAGTGATCTGGTTTGGTGGAACCGTTGGGGAGAAATAGCAGAAAATCGAGAGATGAGACTAGAAATGCAGGTTGGGATGGCACGGAAAGGGACCGGGCATCGGACGGGGGTGTGGGAGTGTGGGGTGTGCACTGGGAGTGGAGTCCCTGAGGAATCCCAGAAGGGCTGTGAGCCCGGGAGACCAGCCCAGAGCTTGCCTCGGAGAGTAGTTAGCACATCACCTCCATTGACGCAGTGGAGAAACGAGGCATGTCGGATGGGATTGTGGCGGCGGGTGGAGGGGGGCTTGCATCCGTGAGGCTGGCAGAAGTGGAACTCTGTGGTCCGTGACATCCTGCGGAGTCTATCTGTGGCAGTAAACACAGAAGCTTCAACTATCTTTATCAAGTACTGGGCTCTGTAGGGTACTTCACACACATGGCAAGAATCATGATGCTGCGTAACACTTAGGAGCACCTCCCCGAGGATCGGTGCCGTTAAAATCCTCGTTTCACAGAGGTTCATGTGCTGGGTAGATTGCAAACATAGCCCCGGTTCCTCACCTCTCCCTGCGTGCGTGCCCTCGGCACATAGATTTGCAGTGTCCTCACGCCCTGATCCCGATTCCAGGTTTGGCCAACAGATTGAGGTGGAAGAGATGGTGTGCGAGTTCTCAGCCCCGGCCTTTCGTGTTTCCATGTGAGTTCCCGAGTTAGGACGGCAAGAGGCCAGCCCCGGGCGGCTCACAGAACCTGTGGCTAGTGGTGCCCCCAGGCTCAGCTGCCTGCATCCATGCCCTCCCCCCATCATGCCCTCTCCCCCTTCTCCTCCTTCCTCTCCTCCACCTCCTTCTCCCCACCTCCTTTTCCTTCTTCCAGTGCTTTATTTTTCTCTCTTACCACCAACCGGTTTATCCCCCTCTTCGTCCACAGGGCAGAGTGAAGCCACCAAGAGCGCCGGGCTTACATCTTTTATTCCAGAGAGCGTCAGACTGAGCAGGACTTAGCTTGGACTCCACATCCCAGGGGAAGGAGGCTGAGGGGCCCAGCTTGTGTCTGGAGCTCCCCTGGGACCAGCCAAGTATGCATTGAGTTTGGGGACATGCTGTACCATACAGCAGCTGCCAGGGTAATGACAGAGACCCAGAGACGGGGATTGGGAAGTTTCTGGAAAAGGGGGTTCTCAGCAAGCAGAGGCCATAGATGTCCATTACAGTTATTTAATTATTTTAAAGTTAATGAGTGTGCAGCATTTAATTGAATAACAACTTTTCATATCTATGCATAAGGTTTCTGCTTATATATATTATTCCATTTCTTAGCATGACACCTACATTTCCTCACAAAAGAAAAGAAAAGTATGACCTACAAAAACCTCCCTGTTCATGTTTGTCTCACAATCCAAACCCCCGATTTTCTCTTTTCTATGCACTAATATGCGTAAGTAACTGTTACGCCGGTAACAAGAATGTTCTTTTTTTCTGGTGTCATTCAGAGGAAGACGTCTCGTGATAATGATCCGTGGTGTTTCCTCAACCTCCGTGAATATGCTACAAGCCACTGAATGGTGCACTTTGAGTGCAGGCGCTGTATGGAATGTGAGCGATTTCTCAATAAAGCTGTTAAAAGAAAAATCCATGCCTCCACCCATCCAGTAGACATCTGTTGGGCATCTACCACCCACAAGCATCATTCCAGGCCCCGGAGGAAGGGGATGGAGGTGCCTCTTCTTGCGGACAGGGAGGGGAGGGCGAGACAGATGGCAGAAGAAGAAATAGGGTAGCAGGTGCCAGGCAGGAAAGTCAAGCAGGAACAGAGGGTGGAAATAGGGCGTTAAGATTTATTACTAGGTCACCAGGGGCCCCAGCGCTGAAGCTGATATTTGAGCAGAGGCTCAAGGAAGGAGGACACAGACCTGGGGTTCTAGGGTTCCAGTCCGTCAAGGCCCAGGCGCATCGCCAGGGGTCTCGCTGTCCAGCCAGTGTTTCTCCACCGTGCTCCATGGCAGCCCGGACATCCTCAGGGCCCAGGCAGTGAAGGTGCTAGGGCAGAGGTTGTCACCTCCAATTTTCACCCCCGTCCCTTTTAATCAGAGAGCACCGCCACTCTGTGTTTGTGATATCAGAGGAGCGCGTAAAATTACATTTTAAAAAATAAGCGTGCTACAAAATCCAAGAAGGTTGAAGACCACTGATCCGGGTGTCGGGGTGGGGACAGGGAGGGGAGTGGCCCCAGGAGAAGAATATTATGCCAAGGTGTAAGACTAAGGTAGAGTCGTGACAGGTGTCCTGGGTTGAAAAAGATACATCAAAGTCTTAACTCCTAGTATCTCAGGATGTGATCATACTTGGAAACAGGATCTTTATGGAGGTAATCAAGTTGAAATGACATGATTAGAGTGGGCCCTAATGTAACTGGGGTCCTTCCAAAACAGGGAAAATTGGAACACGGAGGCAGACATGCACAGAGGGGAGCTGACATGAACAGACATGGGGGGAGCATCACCGGACGACAGAGACAGCGACTGGCGTGTCGCAGCCGCAAGCCAGGGGACCCCAAGGGCTGCCTGGGGCCCCCAGAAGCTGGGAAGGGGCATGAAAGAGATCTCTCCAGAGTCTCAGAGGGAGCCCGGCCCTGCTGGCACCTTGATCTCAGACCTCCGGCCTCCAGAACTGTGAGGGAACCTTTTTCTGTTGTGTAACGGCCCGGTCTGTGGTTCTCTGTTACTGTGGCCCCAGCACACAGACACACCGGGTGCTGCGGGATCCAGGAGTTGGGGGGGGGCTTCGGTCACGGGGCACACTGGATCTGGATCCCGAGAGCGAGGAGCATGCTTCCCGATGGAGAAGGGCGATCTGTCAGGTGAGTATTGCTACAGCTGACAGCAGGGGCCAAGGGCCTGCCAGAATGTGGTGCAGCAGTCCCTTCGGCTTCAGGGTGTGGTCAGCCCGGGAGATTGGTGGCATCGGGGACCTGGTGATGTGAGGGAGGGAGGGGGTGGGGGTGACTGCCAACGTCTGGGCTGGGTGGCTGGTGGACAGGGGTGGGGTTCCCTGGGATCACACACACGGGCAGAGGAGGGTAGTAGGGACTGGGGATGGGGGGGCCCCCTGGGCCACCCCAGGGCCACCCCAGGGCCTGGGAATGTTTGGTGAGATATCCAGAGGCTGGTGGACAAAAAAGACCTGGATAGATGCATGCTTCCCATGGCTGGCTTCCTCCCCGCCTTCAGCCCTCCACTCTAACATCGTCTCCCCAGAGAAGCTTTTCCGCAGCACCCCTCTCTGTCTGGGGCAGTTACCCCCAAGTTACTCTCTGACTCCAACCTTGTCTGTTCTCACGGCATTTGCATCATCTCGTTCATGCACGTGCTCATTTCCGTTCTGGGTCCCCACGTTATTTGCTCCCAGATGTCAATTGCCCAGCGCAGTGTCCACACACAGTCAGGGCTCGCTCCAGATCTGCTGAGTGGAAGGCTGAATGAGGGAGTCCAGGAGAAGGCCGGTGCTGCCGGCTGGCCTCTCTGAAGGAGATGCTGAGGAGTTCAGGGTACAAGATGCTTGGTAGGGATCAGCACCTGCAAACGGAAGCGGGAGGAGGCAAGATGGGCAGATGGGAACGTGGAAGAGCAATGCCAGCCGACAAGGCTTTGGCCAATTCCTGAGCTCGAGAGGGAGCACCATTCAGTGGGGCTGGCCCCTCTTGGGTTGAAACAGCCGGGCCTTTTAATCCCATGTCACTCAGTCACTGGACACAGCCTGCCTGGGGAACAGTGGTCCCTGAAGGAGCCAACAGCTGGATGCTGTCTGCTGATCACATTCCGCAGGGCCGAAGGCAGCGCGTCTCCACGTCCACCAGACCCGGACTGGACACACAGGTGCTGAAATCGGAGGAAACGCTGAGCCCCAGACAGGCTGTGACCCTTGCCTCAGAGACATGCAGGCCGAACACTGCGGGGAAGAGGAGGGCGCGACCTCTTCTTCTAATCAAGCAATCAGGGAGCCTTCTGGGAGGGGGTGGAATTTGACTTAAAGGGCTCACTTGTGTGGAGGCTGGAGTGGAGGGGCTTCCAAGAGAAAAGGGCAGCCCTGGAGCGGGGAGTGCGGATGTTCGTGGGGTGGGATGTGCAGTGTAGACACATGATTCACCAAAATGCTTGTAGAGATGTGGGTGGAGGTCACACACAGGGGCGGGGGGCGGTGCTGGATGGCGGGCTGGGGGCTGGGAGATAGGCACTTACCCAGCAGTGGAAGCCGCCTTTGCTTCTCTTTAGAGAAGGGAACCAGTGTCTCGTGGGGCCGCTTGGGGAACGGGACCAGGTCTGCGGGACAGGTGTGCAGGTGGCGGGCTCACCCCGGTAGAATGGGACGTTAGGCAACCACTCCAGCATCCAGACTCTGTTGGAAGAAAAGAGAAGTTCAAGGAAATGTCTGCATAGGGCATTGCCCAAGAAACTGCTGGGAAGGACAGAATAGAAACAGGATCACAAGTGGCCCAAAAAGTGACAAGAAAAATCTGCTTTCGATCACAATCCCCCAGAGGCGGATTGGAGCTTTCATCTTCTGCAGCAGTGCTGATGGCTGTTGCTGTCACCCTCCAGGGTAGGAGATGAGAGCTGCTGACACATTCTGTCCCTTCCATGAGAGAGAGAGAGAGTGTCGGGAAAGCTGGAGACCCAGCGGCCATGCCTAACGCCTCCTTCCCCAGAGCCCGCCTTGCTGTGCGGTGGGGCCCCTGCCAGCAGTGGGCACTCCAGCCTCCCTGGGGCTGCTGCCCTCTGGGACCCCTGACTACACCTGCCTGCTCCCTCCTCCCCCACTCCTCGTCCCAGGCCCAAGTCTGAAGCCCCAGAGATTCCCCAGACCTTGGGCACTCTGGACTGACGTCTCAATTCCTTCGCAGGCTCCAGCAGAGTGCAGTGGAGGAATTACGTGCCTGTTTTCCTTTTGTTAAATTTCCAGAGCGGGGACTTAATTACCTAGGTCAGCAGACTGGCGGAGCGGAACTACGGGTGTGTTCCAGGCATTTCTCTGCCTGAAGTCCAGATGTAAGCAGGTGGCGCCACCATACCTCCCCTAGGGGGAACTGGATCGGTGGCAGCCTGCGGGAATTCTCTGAGCCTTGCGTCCCCGAGCCCAACACAGTGCCGGGCACATAGACGCGGTCAGTAAAAACTTGCAAGCGGATGAATGACTGAATGAATGAATGGTAGTGGAGGGCAGGCCAAGGGAGGGAATTCCATCTTGTGCACCCACAGCCCCATTTTCTGCCCTTGTCCCACTCCAGGAACCCTCTGCTATTTCCCCCGCCTGTCCTCAAAGGCCACCTGGCTACCTCCAGAGCCTTATTCCCGCTCAGAGATAGGTGACCAAGAATAGGTCGAGCTGAGAGCCCTGAAGATTTAAATGTATTTTAATGTTAAGATGAAAAAAGGGAAGGGGTGCCTGTGTGGTGCAGTCAGTTGAGCATCTGACTTCTTGGTTTTGGTTCAGGTCGTGTTCTCAGGGTCATGAGATCGAGTCCTGTGTCAGACTTCGCACTCGCTGTGGAGTCTGCTGGAGATTCACTCTCTCTCTGTCTCCGTTCCTCCCACCTCAAAAAAATAATTGATAAAAAGAAGATGAAGAAAGGGAAAATAAGTTTTTCTTTTCAGTCACATGACAATTGTCCTTAAATAGTTATTAGGGTAAGGATTTGTTCACTGTCAATACTACCATCACTTCCACCATCATCATCACCATCACCATCTCCACCATCATCATCTCCACCATTATCACCACCATCACCATCATCTCCACCATCATCACCATCTCCACCATCATCACCATCATCACCACTATCACCATCTCCACCATCATCACCACCATCACCATCATCTCCACCATCACCATCACCATCTCCACCATCTCCACCATCATCACCACCATCACCATCATCTCCACCATCACCATCACCATCTCCACCATCACCACCATCATCACCACCATCACCATCTCCACCATTATCACCACCATCACCATCATCTCCACCACCATCACCATCTCCACCATCACCACCATCATCACCACCATCACTATCTCCACCATCATCACCATCATCACCACCATCACCATCTCCACCATCATCACCATTTCCACCATCATCACCACCATCACCATCTCCACCATCATCACCATCATCACCACCTCACTACCTCCACCATCACCACCATCACCACTATCACCATCTCCACCACCATCACCATCTCCACCATCATCACCACCGCCATCATTATCACCACCACTACCACCACTTCCACACCACAAGTTACAACCTATGTGAAGGTCAGGACTCAGTTACTCCTGTGAACTATTGTATTCTTAATGCCAGGTATGGATTAAATGCTTGGATCATAGTATGAGTGAATGAGGAAGGGAAGGATGAAGGAAGACAGGGAGGGAAGAAGGATGAAAAAAAGAAAGAAAGGGAGGGAGGCAGACACAGAGTGATGTCTCATAGGCTCAGTGTGGAGACAGGCTTGGAAACCTGTAACTTTTCTACACAGAGAAGCGCAGTGGTTAGAGCAAGCCCCAGGACCACAGACCCAGGGCAGGGAAGCACAGTGCCAGGAGTGATC